TATTCTGCTTCAAGGTGATTGCAGGATTACACTAGATGAAAGGATTACTTACAGTATATACAAACACAGCTGCTGGAAGACTACTATCTCGGTAATTGTTTGGTATAAAGGGGGATATTTGCCGGCATGAAATCTTTAACTCTGGGTCAGGCTCACCTGCAAGCAGAAGCATCATTACAACTGATATACCAAGAGAAATATACTTGTGTGTAAAGAAGAAGTTACGAAGGTCGATACCATCATATATAGTCCAGGCCCGAGGAAATAGAGCATGATAAGTGGAATGCTGGCCATTCAGATTCCAACCCCATGAAGAAATACCCTTATCACGCGATTTTCTGAGACCATGAAACCAGTCTAAGGTGCACGAAATAAAAAATAAACTGCATCGTTGAAATAGAGAATAAATATAAAACAGATCCATACCCTAAACTTCCATGCTGGCCTGGAGCCAAAACTGATGCATACTTTTTGTGCGCACCATCTCGAGTAATAAAAATCTGCAAAGAATGGAGTGGGCCAACGAAATGTGATAAGAAACACAAGTGACAAAATATTTTAAGCTTTTTATTAACTTAGCACTACTCACAAGAAAACATTTACTGTGGAAATAAACTACAATTAGAAAAGCGTACTAGTTAAATGACAGTCGGAACATAAGTAACTTTGAAGAAATACTAAAAATCCAAGACTAACATAGACATTGAAAGAATATCAATTGTAGCGAAGTGTTACAAACATGAAGTAAAAACTGCAAGAGTGAAACTTGCAATTGAAGTAGGAACAACTATAAGGGAGGAATTCAGGTAACTAGTCAGGGATACGCAAAGCATGGACTCCACTAAGCTCAACTGAAAATAACTTACAGAGAACTGATTAGACATCATAGGTGATGTATCACATGTTCCCGGAATAATTTGCCACTGCTTAAACTCACCCCTGAATCCCCTAGATATGCTTCCACTTCTGCAATCACCAGCAGCATTGGTCAAACACAAGCTACAGAAATAATGGCCAGTAAAACAAACAAAAGAATCAGAGGCTATCTGCTATGTACCCCATTCCTCCAAGTGGAACACCTTGGGATGCAGATGGTTTGCAGTTCTCTTTGGTGAAAGGATCAATAGGTGCTTTCTGTAGCAATCAGAAATCATATTTTAATTCTCCACGACAAAGACTGAAACTTGCAAAAAGGTTCTATACAATGAAACTGTATGATTCTTGTATGTCAAGAGATTCTAAATTTCCAAGGACTTACCCTTCCATGGGAGGCCTCTTCTCTGACATAAGACCATAGCCGTATCCCCAAACGAACCTATAATTCCCAAAAGTTACAAAAGAACAAACTTTTAGGAAACTCCAAAAAATCACATTTGGTGTTTGGCATCAAAGATAATACAACCATACGACCACAAAATGAAGAAAATACAACCATGCAACAATATAAGATGTCTTAGTTACCATTTTAACGGCTTCTCTAAACGTTATACTGAATTCTTTCAGGATATTTGCATGACAGTTTAGTCTCCTCCTCCATGCGTGTGGTGGCGGAGCAGCACTATCGAAATCAAGCTACAAAATGACCATATAAGAAAGGAAAAGAAATTTAAAGACGAATCCAATTTCTCCAATCGAAACGATTATTTCTCGTCATCTTAAATTTGACTTACTAATTGCAGGGTGTTTCTGCTGATAAACTCCTCTGGCGGCCATGAATGCTTTCTTCGGTGAAACAAAGTTGCTCCCACCATTTTTCGACTAAATTCTCGATTCTACACTGATAACGACCAATGAAATTGGTCTTAAACTCTCAACACGAACTCAAAAGATGCTTTACCTACGCATATAAACTCGTTACCTTTTTATTTACATCAAAGAACAAAAACGTCTTCTCAGGGAAGCATTTGCATCAAAAAGCAATCCCAATGAAACGAAGCCGTTTCAAGTCTCAACCATCTCGGCTTCAATCGTCGCTATCAAATTCAAAGCCTAAAGTAAGTTGCAGATGAAAAATGCATTGGCGTTAGACGAATCAGAGAGTTTGCATAGAATTTGAACACAGACACAGATCACAAACGTACCGGAGAGTCTCGAAAATTCGATCTATCCGTCGACAAGACAGGATACGATTAAAAGAAGAAAATCCGATTCCTCCGATGAGATTTTCCGGTAAAAAGTAGAATCAGAAAGGAAGGAAGGAGAAATTGGTTTCGAATCTTCGAAAATCGGTTGGTCGTAATTGGGCAGAAAAGTCTATTTATGTGGATGGAGGAGACTGCTGACGTGGCGGTGGCGTGGCAAGCGGAGGATCGACCGTCAGAGACGAGCTTCTCATACGGTGGCAAGTGGTTAAATTTTGGCTTTTGATTTTGCAGTGAAGAGAGACGAGGGAGAGAGAAATGATGCTTTACGTTTACATTCCAGTCCTTTTATTCTTGTGAAAACCGTATTTTGACCCTCAAATCTTTTCGTTTTTTTTTTTAAATTAAAGTTTTCTCCTTTTTAAATCAAAGCACACCACGTTTAAAGACTACTACTTACATTTGTTAATTGGGAATCTTATACAGACTTGCACCTGGATAATTATAGTTTGTAATAGGAAACATTACAACTAAGAGAACTAATTAGGATAGGCTTTTGAAATCAGTTGTTTGTCTTTTTCGTTAACCTATGGTTTACAAACTTATTATACGAAAACCCAAAAACAATATAATAGTGTCACTGTCCAAGACATTTTCTGCTGTCTTAAGACAACTAGTTGTCGAAATATTTTCTTTTTTAACTATTCTCACCGACGTCGACGTATTTTAGGAGTACTTTTAATAAATGAAAAATCGAATCATATAAATATCCAACAAAATTTAAACAATTATGATTGACATGTCAATCATGTTAATATCTAAACTGTGTAGATAATCTCAATAGCTCATGTCTAAGCTTTTTTCACCTTTTAGAAGTTCCAAACAAAAATGAAAGAGTAAGTTCTATGTTTTATCAAAGTTTTAACATGAGGGAGCGTCAATGGTTCCTGAAAAACTGTTGTTGGAAATCAGTGAAAACTGTTTTCGTTTGGATAGTACGGTTATAAATTTATAATTAATTCTCTTGTTTTTTTCATCATATCATCAACTTAATTGTTTAACTGGGACACTAGTTTGTGATTTTTATGTGTTTGCTTTACGAATTAAATAAAGCATGTGCACATCGAAAGCAAACGAGGAGATAAAATGAAAAATATAATAAAGCTTAAGCCGACATTGGCCATGGAGGCGCCGACGTAGAGAAAAGAAAAAGGAAAGTAAAGTCAGAAGAAAAATGACGTTGACACGTAAACTTTCCACTTCGGTTGTCTGCTATTTTTTGGACTTTCCGTTCTCGCTTTATTGGAAAAGTGGGTGATTTGGTCATCTCATATTCTCATTCTCAGTTTGGTTTTTTTTACTTTTATCTTCTGTTTTGTAACAAGACTTATACATTAGATGGAACAGATTCCACAAAGGGGTGGTGGCGCAGTTGGCTAGCGCGTAGGTCTCATAGCTATCTGAGTAATCCTGAGGTCGAGAGTTCGAGCCTCTCTCACCCCATTTTCCCTTTTCTTTATTTTTTGTAGTTTTCCCATTTCTACTTTCAGTTCTTCTAGCAACAGAGAAATTTTCATATGCACTTGGTTGTGCCACGTGGTCCCTCCATTGCCGTTACCTTCAGCTGAAATACCAAACACTCGACTCGGAGGTAGAGAGAGAGAGAGAGAGAGAGCCACTGCTTCTTCATCAAACCACAATCAACTCAATATCCCAAATCTCTATCTCTCTCTTTCGCTCTACATGGAAGCAGCAGTGCCACGGCTCGTCTACTGTGGACCGGAGTCAATTCGCTTCTCCGGCTCCTCCCGCCGCTCCTTCGTCTCCGGGATTCCTCCTCGTAATCGCTCCCGACGGATTCTAGCCGTCGCCACCGATCCCAAACCTACGCAGACTGGTCCACCCAAGTCCACCACCGTAAACGGATCCTCTTCATCGTCCGCGTCAAAATCAGTCAACAACAATGTCTCCACGGTACGATTCCACTTCTCATCAGTCAATTGAAAAATCTCGATTCTGAAAATTTTAGGTCGAATTGTGTAAAATTAGAACTTTTATGGCAAATGTCACAGAGAATTGGCGATGTTTCAAAAGAGATTAAACGGGTGAGAGCTCAAATGGAACAAGACGAACAGTTATCTGTACTAATGAGAGGGCTTCGTGGCCAGAATTTGAAAGATTCAGTCTTCGCCGATAATAATATTCAGCTAAGGCTTGTCGAGGTAAACACTCTCGGCAATTTTAGTATTTGATTTAGCATTTGTAAATGTTACTTTATCTTCTTCGTTTGGACTTTACAGACTGGTGGAAGCAGTGAGTTCTTACCTCTGGTGTATGACCCGGACACCATTTCTGAGTACTGGGGGAAACGTCCTCGTGCCGTTGCTACTCGGATTATCCAATTGCTTTCAGTCGCCGGAGGGTTTCTCTCGCGTATTGCAGGGGATGTGATCAACAAGAAAGTTAAAGAGGTAATTTTTCTGTTGACTGCTTTGATCTATATCGAGCAAACAGTAGTAAACGTAGTTGTGGCTTGCAGATTCTAGCGATCTAAGTGAGTGAATGTACACTAGAAAAGAAAGATTCATGTCCTAGCTTTCAGTTTTGCGTTAAATCTAAACGAGTCAAGTACACAGTTTTTCAGTATTTTATTCGAATTTTGTTTCAAGTTTCTTTTTTTGTTGCTTGCGAGTATGTTAGGTGATAATGAGTCTCATTTTTCTCTCTGTCATCATTTTCAGAATGAGGTTTCTAGAGCAATTGAACTGAGGGAAATTGTAACTTCCTTGGGTCCAGCGTATATTAAACTTGGGCAAGCTTTGAGTATTCGACCAGATATCTTGTCTCCTGCTGCAATGACAGAACTACAGAAGCTTTGTGACAAGGTATAATGCAGAATTTTTGTTGTTGTTCTCTCCATGCGTTATCATATATAATCTTAATTTCTCCATTAGAGTTTTCTGTCTTAGTGCTAAATGTGGGTGTTTTCTGTTTCATTTATTTGTTTATGCGTAGGTGCCTTCATTTCCTGATGATATTGCCATGGCTCTTCTCGAGGAAGAGCTTGGGAAGCCATGGTACGAAGTTTATTCAGAGCTCTCTACGTCTCCAATAGCTGCCGGTAAATTTCGAACCATGTTATTCATATGCCCAACTTATCATTTTCGTAGACTTATTTTTCAGATGATTTATTGTTAAATTTGTTTTTCAGCATCCCTGGGACAAGTTTACAAGGGGAGATTAAAGGAAAACGGGGATCTAGTGGCAGTGAAAGTACAGAGGCCTTTCGTTCTTGAGACTGTGACTGTTGATTTGTTTGTGATACGGAAGTTGGGTCTCTTTCTGCGGAAGTTCCCTCAGGCAAGGTTTCGTCTGACGGCTCAGCTTATGCACTTACTGTTCTCCTTCACTATGCTCCTTAATGACTCTCGACCTTCTTGTTCATTTGGGAAATTCTCGTGCAGGTGTCAGTAGATGTTGTTGGACTGGTTGATGAATGGGCTGCTCGCTTTTTTGAGGAGCTGGATTATGTTAACGAGGGAGAAAATGGTACATATTTTGCAGAAATGATGAAGAAAGATCTCCCACAAGTACGCCCCATAACTTTTCTATTATGCACTTCATTTTTCTCTATTTATATAAGACGTGAGGCGTCCGATCATAAACTTGTGTTTGACAAGTACCTATTTGGTTTGGCATCTTTGAAATGGTTTTTGATCGTGCAGTGATTGCTTGTTTCAGGTTATTGTGCCAAAAACCTACCAAAAGTACACGTCTAGGAAGGTTCTTACAACACAGTGGATCGATGGCGAAAAATTGTCTCAAAGTATGGAGAGTGACGTTGGCGAACTTGTGAATGTTGGTGTTATTTGCTACTTAAAACAGGTAACTCTTCCTGCATAATTTTTTTGCGGAGAAATAGTAAAATTTGTAGCATCTCCCTCTTTGTTCAGCTTCTAGCACACATTTCCTGCTTTAAAAATAAGATAATGTGCATTTATACTCTTGTTAACACTGGTTACTGTTTTATGCTACAGTTGCTTGATACTGGCTTTTTCCATGCTGATCCTCATCCTGGAAATATGATTCGTACCCCAGACGGGAAGCTTGCCATTCTTGATTTTGGTAACAGCTCTAGTTCCAGTGACTATAATTTATTGAAATATATATTCGTTTGGTCACGCAGTTACATACTTACATTCACATGTGCTATGAGAAAAGCCTTATGTTGACATTTTATGTTTGTTTGTGTATTGACAGGTCTTGTTACGAAACTGACTGATGATCAGAAGTACGGAATGATTGAAGCCATCGCACACTTAATCCACCGAGATTACGATGCCATAGTAAAAGATTTTGTCAAGCTTGGTTTCATCCCTGATGGGGTCAATCTAGGACCTATATTACCTGTCCTGGCCAAGGTTTTTGATCAGGCACTTGAAGGTGGCGGAGCTAAAAACATCAACTTTCAGGAGTTGGCAGCAGATTTGGCGCAGATAACTTTTGACTATCCATTCAGAATTCCTCCTTATTTCGCCCTCATTATTAGAGCTATTGGTGTGCTCGAAGGGATAGCTTTAGTAGGCAATCCTGAATTTGCCATTGTGGACGAAGCCTATCCTTATATCGCTCAGGTAATTTGATATGAACTCTGTGAATCCACTTATCCACTGTCTTTTAATGGATCATGCAAAATACTTATCGTTAATGTATTCTTATGGTTTTAGCGGCTCCTGACGGATGAGTCACCTCGCCTGAGGGAGGCTTTGCGGTACACAATATATGGCAAAACTGGAGTTTTCGATGCTGAAAGATTCATAGATGTGATGCAAGCCTTTGAGACTTTCATTACAGCAGCCAAAAGTGGAGGAGGAGAAGATATGAATGGAGGCATGGCTGAGCTGGCTCTTATGCAAAGCCAGCCAAGCAGTCTTGCTTCTATGTTTCCGACCAGCGCGTCGTCCCAACCGGACCAGCCAGCTCAAACGAGAGTCGCTTTGTCATTCCTGCTTTCCGAGAAAGGAAACTTCTTCCGTGAGTTTCTACTGGATGAGGTACTACTAATCATAGTTACTTTAATCTCTTAACCTTCCTTATTCATGGCGTCCTGAGTTCTGAAAGTGAGTGCTTAAAAAAACAGATAGTAAAAGGCATCGATGCAATCACGAGAGAACAGCTGGTGCAAGCTATGGCGATCTTCGGATTCAGAAACGCTACACCAATCTTCGGTATGGTACCACCAACATTTGGACCCTTCAAGCCTGCAGCACTACTTCCATCAGTGACTGAGGAAGACAAAGTCATATTGAACAACGTTCAGAAAGTAATCGAGTTCCTCACCGCGAGAAGCTCCATGTCGAACGATCCTGATCAGGTCAGTATCAGAAATCTCTCAGGATCTTCTCTCGTAATCTCTAGTGGAGTACCGAGTAATGAACTAATGTGTGGTTAATATCGTGAAACAGATCGTAGATGTATCTCAAGTGGTTAGAGAACTGCTTCCTGTGTTGCCTGGAATCTCTGTGACAGTACTTCCTGAGATTCTGAGTCGGCTTGGGTCACGAATCATGGCGAGAATAGTTCGGGACACGTTTTTGTAAATATTGTGCACATAAAGTTGCATTCTAAAGTATAAAAGAAATATACATTATACATATAGGCATATAGCTATCAAGATTGTTTGTTCGCCATTAACACATACTTGCTGTAATAAATAACGCAAATTGGAATGGAACAATGACTTTGTCTTGCCAATGTAGACGTGTTCAACAGCTAAATACATGATCACATTACATAATCATAACAACCTTATTTGAAACTTGTGCTAGTGCAAAAGAAGAGATGACTCAGATTATTTGATACAGATGGCAAATCAATTCCTCAGCTCAGAGAGACAGACGTTCTTCAAGAAAAAAGTGGCAAAGATTGGTCTCCTGAAGCATACGATATGATACGCTTCTTTAGCGGCGAAATGTAGTGAGCACCGTGAAACGCAGCCGCTCTGAACGCATTCAGCGGTCCGAAATTCACTGCGTACATCTTCTGGATTCCGTCTAAAACCGCCATCATCGCTATATTCGCAGGTTTCCTCTCAGCTTCATATCGTTTGAGCAGATTCGTCTACAAAATACAAAAAATCATCAATAAGCAAGTAAACAAGAAGTTAACAAAATGGTTTAGACTTGGAAGAAGAATCTGAGCATATACCTCTCCTATATCAGTACCAAGAGCAATGCCTTCAGCTATAGCTTTAGAGAGAGCAGACGCATCTGCAAATCCTAGATTCACTCCTTGACCAGCCAACGGGTGAACAGTATGAGCTGAGTCACCAACGAGAGCCACACGCTTCGACACATAATCTTTCGCATGCTTTAAAGACAAAGGAAACATCATTCTCTCTGAAGAAAGCTTCACAACTTTTGGTGGAGTTTCAAACCTCTCCTTGCCAGATATGGTCACATCTCCTGTAAGCCAAGAGAGACCCCCCGGTGAGCTCGTTGTCGTCTCTGGATGTGGACCGTATCCGTAATCCAGAGCGTCGTTTACAGCTTTGATGAAGTCATCCTCGCTCATGGTTTTGCGGTCTGACGCCTCTGTTGGATCCATAGTCCAGACTATGTTGCTAAACTTGTCTCCAATGGGAAGAAGCGCGATGGGGCCATTAGGTAAGAACCGTTGCCACGCTGTGAAGTTTTCGACACTGTGCTCCACTGTACAGATGATAGCGTTCTGTGAGTAGTTCCATCCGGTTGTTTTGATCCCTGCCAACTCCCTCACTCTCGACTTAGACCCATCGGCGCCTACCTGCGTGTACACAAAATGGTTAGGTGAGATTCAGAAATGGTTTTCACTCAGACATAGAAAATTGAGAAACACCTACCACTAGTTTTGCATAGACGTTGTTTCCATCGCTTAGCTCCAGCTTAGCAAGACGTCCTCGCATAAACAAATCTGTTGTGGATGGTACTTCACCAAGACCAGTCAACGAAGAACTTGGTAGCATATCCATCGAGTTTAACCTCGCTGGATAAATAGTCTTCTGGAGATCTGATTCCTGCAGATACAAATAACATATCCTTCTAAGAGAAACCTGAAAGATTGCATCAAAAACTTGAACGGACCCAAGAAAGCAAATTACCTGAAAACAAGATAGCTGAGAACTCTGGAGAACTTTATTCTCCACAACACACCTGGATCATGCCAAGAATGAGTACAAAGGTATTAACATCATCAAAGGATGCAGATGTATTTAAGCTTACCCCAAAATATCTTGATCGACATCTTTAGCATTGTATCTTGTGTATCCAAGGCCCGTGTAGTCCCAGACCTAAAACCCCCAATAATTAACATAAAACTTTGTTTACTTCCTTCACAGAGTAGATCTGATTATAGTTTTGCTTTTAATGTTAGCTTCAAACAACTTTAAGGTTTTGCTTTAATTTGACTAAGATTTCAGCAGCGATGGTATAAAAGCTTCGGAAGGAATGTAACAAGTTAATGTTCATTACCTGCATTTTATCAAAATACGCATGTCGCTGTTCTTCAATGTATTTCCACGCACCAATATCTGCATGTTTTAGACCATCCATAGAAGTAACTAAAAAAGATATCCATGTACTGATTCAGGACAAAGACTAGCTCAAATCTGGATTCGTAGTGGCAAAATCAGCATCTTAAACTTAAATGAAGCTTATGCTACCATTTAAGAGCTATTCCGGTAGCTAATTCAAGAAAATGGACAACGAGCAGAAACATAGTGTTATATACCTTTGAGGAAAGATATCGTCGCAGGTGTGACTGTACTGACTCTGGGATCAGGTGTGTGACCTTTCTCTATCACATTCTTTCTCCCCAAAAGAGGATTATTGTCAATTATAGCGACATTCAAGTGCTTTGTCAACGGCTTGCTTGCTGGAAGAATAACAACAACAACAAGAGATAATTATTTAGTCACCTGAACATAAATTACCAATTAAGTAGGAGCAACAATTGCTTACCCAATGAAGCAGCTAAAGCGATTCCAACCATTCCACCACCGACAATAGCAATGTCATGTTGTGGACTATCTTCAGTGGAATTCCTTTTCGCATTGCTCTCCTAAACCATTTCGTAAATGTGACGATTGAGTTCTAAAAAATTAGACTTTAACAACATATCGATGTCCCAAACATGAAAAACTTACACTGGAAGAAGAACTAGAGACATTGTGTGTCACTGTCACATGAGTTGAACAAGCTCTCCGCAGAATCTTTGTTCCACGGACATTTATCCTAAGCTTCCTTGCCAGCATCCTGTTATAATAACATGATATAATCAGTGAGACAAACATCACAATAATCTTCTCTATTATCCAAGTAAGCTTGGATCATAAACTTGGATTCATAATAAACAAAATCGAAATTAGAACTTTGCACGACAAAGAGCTTACTTACATCTAAAGTGGAGCAAAGATCAGAACTAAGCCAAAGACAATTACTTTCCTTGATCCCTGAAACATTTAAGGAAATATATGTGAGGATTTGAAAGGAAAGAAGTGACAACGTTTAGTCATTTCGTCGAGCATGTGGTGTGCAGGAAAGACAATGAAACAGAGAGAGACAAAATAATACCAAAAAACGTCAAATTCCAAAAGAAAACGATGAGAAATCAGGGGGAGAAGGAGAAGAGAAACGAAGATCGGAGGAGTTTTAGCTGACAGATTATAAATTAATCGATGAAGAAGATGAACACCCAACTTCTTTAATTTCTCGTTGATGGTCAGTACGACAACGTTTCATTTGAACGGTCTAAATTAAACGGCGTCGTCGATGGTTTTACAAGTCCCCAAAACACACACTTGGCTAAACTTTTGAGCCATGTTAAAAACGAATTAAATCTCATCCCCCCCCCCCATACAGAAGTTTGGTTTATGTCTTTCTCTTTGCAAGATTCCAGTGAATTGCTTCAATACAAAAAGCATAATCCTTTCTTCGTTGCCTTCTAGTGACCAATCTCATGAAGAAGACACATATTTTAACGAACTATCTTTCAGAAAAAGCTGCACATGATATGCTTATTTTCATGTCATCAAAACACAAGAGAGAAAGAAAAGAAAACAGATACAAAAGAAGGAGATCGAATGTTTTACATCACACTTTCAAAAGAAAAGAAAAAATGTATAACCCCAATGGAAAGGAAAATTCTGATGAGAGTTATCTTACAAAAGAATGATAAAAAGAAGAACCAAAGTTGAATTCAATCGAATCCCATCAGAACATTTATGTCTTTTCTCTTTGCAGATAGCAAGTTGAATTGCTTCAATCCAACAAAAAAAAAAGCAAAACTGTGTAGGTTAGTTTTTGAAGTGTGTATTAGCTAACTTTACTCTGCCTTTTGACCCTTTTTGGGTTTCTGTTTCTCATTTTTCCTCTTCTTAGACTCAAGACTAACCCAAGTATAACCTGCAGGTATCGCAAACGGGTCTTGTAAAGTATGACACTTACTGCTCAAACCATCTTTGCTTGCTCTGGACGAACGAAACCACGAGGACGACGACGATGAGTTCTTGACCTCATTCGCAGCAGCTGGACTCTCATCATTGCCAGAACCAGTCGGGCTCGAAGGTGGCGTCTTAAACTCATCTCCACCGTCAATCTCTTCAAACTTTGTGAACGTAACAAGCACTTTTATCGTCGGCACCACTGGTATAGCAACCTACATCCATTCACAAAACCATATCAATCAAAATGATGCTTGAAGAACATTGCATTAACATTAAACAACAACATACCTTAACAGGAAACGTTCCTGCTGGAAGTTTTGTGGTGAGAAGTTCTCTGAGACGACGAATGGCTTTAACTTTGTTTGCAAGTATGTCAAGCAAAGGAAGAAGCTCCTCTGTTTGTAACGGGAAGTTTGGAGATAGCCAGAGAACAGGACGTAGACCTTTCTTGTATTCACTCTCCTGATGATGATGATGACTCGTCGTCTTACTCACTCTTGGCTTCCTTATAACCTCGTTATCTACAGAGTGTCTCCCTGGCTTTATCTGATTCGAATCTCCCAACAGATTACTCACTTTCTCATTCACACAAAGAGAGCTTCTCGCTGGCGCATACTCAATCTTCTCCTGCTTCTCCACCTTACTCGTCTCTCTCCTTCTCCATCCTCCCAACCACCCTTTCTTCTCCGGTTTCTTGCTACTCAAATCCTCAACGAGACCATTCTCGCCATTAACAGTTGGGAACTCTGGCAAGTCAAGCTTAAGAGCAGCCTCAAGCTGCTTCTGCTCTTCATCTGTCAACACATCGCAGAGACCATCATCATCACCATCGTTCTCTTTATCATTCGACGACGCAGAACCAGAACCAGAACCAGGAACTTTCCTAGACTTGATGCTAACAACAACATTGCTCATCTCATAAACCTTAGCCTTCCAAGGACCAACCATCTCACTCTTCTCCTGCCTCCTCCAATTCATCTGCGGATGCAACACAGCCTCCGTCACATCAATCCCAGGTCTAAAGATGTTACTTTTACACATCGAAGCAACTTCTCTCTTCACCTCCTCATCAGACGCCACTCCAGAGCCAGCACCATCCAACGCATTCATCACCTCTTTATCCTTGTGATTCACCATGTAAAGCGAGCCACGAGCAACCTCACCATCCTCAGACCCATCGCCGAGAAACAGTATGCTCTGATCAGATCTCTGGATCTTAAACCCGTCGAAGCCAGCCATCGTCATGTCAGCTCTCAGATTCGACCCGATCTTCCACACTTTGTAAGTATCAGACGGAGCAACTTTGGAGACGAAAGGCACAACGGAGCTCTCGAAGTGGAAACTCATCTCCAAGTAGAAATCCTTCATCTTCCCCATCGTCGCGATCAAGCGAGGCAGTCTCCTGCACCATTTAGCCCAAGCTATAGGCTGATAATGGCGGACGATTATCATCGCGATCGTCTCCTGTCTGCTGCAAACAGCCTCCTGCAACGCGTTCCATCCGTCCTCGTTCTGTAAAGTCCAATCGGCTCCGGCGACCATTAGGATCTCGGCGGATGTTGAATCGGAGAGCTTCACGGCTAGATGGAGCGGCGTGTCGCGTCTGGGGACGTCTCTTCTGTCGATTACGGCGGAGATTGCGTCCGATTTTGCTTCCTCGGATAACGAAGCTGCTTCTGATTGGATCTCGGATGGATCTCGCGGCTTTGGGAGAGATGATAGTATTGATCTGAGAGTTGCGTAGTCTCTGGAAGCTACGGCTTTGTGCACGGAGCTGTGTGCGTACTTGGAAACATCAATGTTCTCCATTTTTGATCGGAGATCGGAATTCCAAGTCCGGCGAATGAGAAATTGGAATCAAACTAAGGACGATTCAGTCTAAGATCGAGAATTTTTCCCCCTGGAGCAATCGATGGTAAAACCCTAATCGGAAATTTGACCGGAGACAAAATTAAAATCAGCGGAAAGTGAAGAGAATTCGAATTTGCAATTTGTGGGGTCCAAAAAAAAGAAATCGAAAGTTTCTAACCTTTTTTTCTGAAATTTCTAACTTTCTGCGCAAGAAAAGGAAATGTCGTCTTACTCTATCATCATCTTCAAGTTTGTGTTATCGCATTGTCGTCGTCCTCTATATTCTTCTTCTCTTGTGTATTGTTTTTACTGATAGAAGAGAAGAAGGAGAAGAGATATGTGAAAGAGAGATTCTTGTGATCTGATTACAGATCAGAGGACACGAGAAAGACGCATGTGGGCGCGTGAAACAAAAAACGAAAAATACAACACAGAGAGGAATTTAAGAAATGAGAGAAAATCAATCCCGAGATTGTGTTTTGAATAAAGAAAAGGAGCGAATGAGTCGAGTAGGATTAGGAAATGAGAATCGGAAAGAGAACTGAAGATGGAAATTAAGATCAAAGGTGAGAGAAATGGAAATATGGAATCAGTCGTAAAAAGATGAAATGTGTGTGCTTAGTGGGAGGGAAGCAAAGCAAAGCCAAAGAAACATTGAGATTTATTCAAATTTATTATTCAAACATTGAGATTTATTCAAAGAAACATTGAGATGTAAATAAGAAAAATATATGATATAATTTTGACAGTAATTATTTGATTATCTTGGGTTATACATTACAATTAATTTCTTAAAACTTATTATTTAATTTATACAAATTTTAAACAAAATGAGTAAATTTAGTAAAAAAATATGTGTCACTTCCACTTAAAAGTTAAAACAACCATTAGGTTATTAACCAAAGTAGCCATTCTTTAATTAATACATTGACATTAATTTTTATTTATTAATATTGTATAGTTTCCTAACTTCAAATTTATAACCAAAACGTAAACCAGTACAATGAACTCTTCTATAACTTAAATACAAAGCCATATCATGACACAATCTAGTTTGAAGAATTTCACAACAAAAACTCAACACAATTAGTAAAAGACAAATTATTGAAAATATTACAATTTCAAAATGACTATGACGACTATGATAGTAATATTGCCAGAGCCCAGATCCTAATGCTTTCTGTTCCGGCTGTGTATACGAGTGTATGAAAATAAACAAACGTCCACTAAGTTGTCTTAAGTTTATCTGCCTTTGTTCAGCCACAAATCTTACTCATTTGGCAGAGAGTACCCAAACTGATATTCACTTACAGGATCATTGTACAAATGACTACCATGAATTAAATGTTCCCCAAGATCGTTACTGATTATTTGTTATAAATGTGCACATCACAATTTTAGAAAGAACAAACATGCGCAAAACTTGTCATAATTTTGTTTGCCTTTGTGAACCCCAAAAATATTGTTTTTACACGTGTACATCTGCCCAAACGTTACTTATACATTACCCCGACTAAAAGTTTCACAATAATCAACATATAACGTTAGTAGTATACTCAAATGGAGTTAGCTCTGTGAGTTGTGGAGACCGAACATTGAGTTCATCACCGCCAATCTGACTCATTCTCTGGACCAACTTGCATGTGTTCATCGATCAACCTTGATTTTTAGTCCACATAATAGTTTGGCCGGGGGATATCAATTTATCCGATCTATGTGGTTTTCTAAACTCTCCATCTTAATTCATAACCTTTTGCGGCTATCACGTAGAATGCTTTGTAGACTCTATATAGACTATAGAGCACACAATGCAACACTTCCCAATGATTTTATCAGCCCGACAACTTTTTTAACCGATTGATGAAATATTACATATGCATTGTTTGTTCTCACAAGTGAGACAAGTTTTAAAACTTTGATTCTAAATAGTTGATATATATATAGTGTTTGTAATACGAAGGTTTGATAGTAATTCAGAAGAGAAAACGTTTAGTTATTACTTATTTCGTAATCGTAGACACATGTCTAGGCAACATGTGCAACTAGCAGTATCGATACGTTAATATAGATCATTGTGCATGTCGGAGACGACGTATATGAATATAATAGTACAAAGACAAAAGTAGCTAAGGTGAATATAGCATCTTAACTAGGTTCACCTCGTGTTAATTAGTAGCTCTACCGGTTAGACTATCCAACATCATCCCCATTGCTCCATTGATGGTTCATTGAATCTGCTAAACATTGATCTTACCCGTTAGGGAGTAAATTGTTGACTGATTTGTTGAAACTAGGGAAAGTTTGAATATCTTAAACTCTTAAAATAAATACATAATGTACAAGAAAATCCGTTAAAATCCATCCAAGTATAGTTCTCTATCATATTGGGAAAAGGGAGAGAGTAAAATACTAAAATTTCAATACGTGTATGCATATATATTGGATTATACGCATCATAAACTGAGTGTACTGTAAATCGGATTGTAATCTTATAAACCGTTTTAACTTTTTACCATAATACTATTCTCTCTCTAATTAATATATAAAAAAATATTTTCTTGAATTATAAATCTGGTTTCACCCGAATCTAAAAAGACTCATGTTTCTTCACGAGAAAGTTCAAAAATTTGATGTTTAATAAGACAAATCAAATAGTGAAATACATATTTAATAGGTAACGAAAATCTAGATAAATTTAATTATTTATAAATAAATAAATAAATTTGGTCGTTCGGCATTTATAAGTAACATTTATAAGTAACAATAACATTAACATTATCTTTTACATTTTTATTAAACATTTTTTTTCATTATCGCAAGTGGTAAAGTTATTATACACGTACGAGTTTCTTTAACCAGTTATTTTTAATGTATTATTGGATAAGATCATTGGTTAAAGATCATTGTATATATATTCTTCATAACACCATATACAAATAACGAATCAAAATATCTATAAGCATAAAACAAGAACAAAAAAAAAACAAAGTAGGCAAGGATGGAACTAAAAAGCCATTGACACATGAACAGCACTCGTAACATACCATTAATCAACATACACGTTTAAGATACAGCTCAAATTAGTCCAATAATAGCCTAGACGTTGGCATATTAATGATGTTCATGTTTTTTTGTTTTTGAAACAGTTCGACGTTGTGAGATTGTTTCCTTTAGAGGCTACATTACTGACACGTGAAATCGGTGGGGTTAAACTATATTTTATTTTACTTTCATGAAGTCTCGTAAGGCCAAGTGTTGGTCGTTGGTTAAGCGGTAGCATCGACTGGACACGTTCCATGATAGTACCACGTGAAGCGCATATCAAAGTCGCGTGATACAACGTTATAAAGATCCGAAAACGAGAATGTGTCATCAGATGGAAGTTGATGAACTTGTCACCATCTTTGTCTCTACTCTCAACATATATTAAAGCTTGTTTTTGACAAAAATATATTAGAGTTTATGATGCAGTTTTTTTTTGTTTGGCTTCATTAATTATGTGGTCGTGCTATGTGAATTGGAAGTGGATGTTATGTTTCATCTAGTTTGATGACCATCTTTTGTTTTCTTGAATAAGACAAATTGTTCTAGTTTTAGAATATGACACATCTTAAGAGTCGGCAAAAAAAAAAATGGACATATGTATCTTACGATAAAGCGTTTTAGTAGCAGAGTTGGTGTTGGTTTTTTGTTAAAGAGAGTTGGTGTTGGTATTGATCACTACTCAGAAGTTATTGAATATCAAGAGAAGGATTGACAGATTTGATATCGAGCTTGAGCTCAAAGGTAGAAGGTGAAAATGGAACATGAACTTCCGGTTCTGTTATTCACAATTGATCAGCATTACAAGTATATAGAAGCTAGCTAGCCGTTACAATCGGGTTTACACTAAACCGAGTTTATGATTTCTAAAACAATTTTTTTCTACTTAATGTAAATTTTTAAGAAGACCAAAACAGAGTTCATCTTATCATCAACCTATCAAAAAAGATTCCTTTACTATAAATTATTAATTGTTACTATTTAAGTTACATATCAATTTCGTTGAAAAAGAGAAAAAACAACTTTGATCTCGTAAGAAAATATGTAGTACTTTAAAAAAAATGTTTAATAAAAAAGTAAAAAACCAATGTTGATGTCATTAAACATTTTGTTACTTATAAATGTCGAATACGATCAAATTTTATTTATTTATTTATAAATGATCAAACTTATCTAGATTTTTATTATCTATTAAACGTGTATTATGCTATTCGATTTGTCTTATTAAACATCAAATTTTTGAACTTTTTCATGAAGAAACATGAGTCTTCTTAGACTCAGGTGAAACCAGATTTATAATTCAAAAAAAGAAATTTATATATTAATTAGAGAAGAAATAGTATTATTCGACCAAAAAAAAGGAGAAAAAATAGTATTATGATAAAAAGTTAAAACGGTTAAGTATATAAGCTAGCCGTTACAATCCGATTTACAGTAAACCCAGTTTATGATGCGTAAACACATTTTGTCTACTCAATGTAGATTTATAAGAACACCAAAACAGAGGTCACATCTTATCATCAACCTATCAAAAGATTCCTTTTCTATAAATATTTATTGTTACTGATTTACATATTAACTTCGTTGAAAAAGAGCAAAAACAAGCTTCGATCTCATAAAAAAATATGTAGTATTCGTTTTACCACTTGCTCCCTGATTCTTCTTCATTGTAGGCTAAGCTAGATCGATGAAAAATAAATAGCACAGCTTTTCAATCTATTTAAGATCAAAATGAAAGTAACTGATTCACATGTTACTATAACTTCACGATTTTTCTTTTATTTTATTTTTTTGTAAAAGATGTAAAACCTCAAACAAACATAATTATTGCTTTGTCTCATTGAAATATTTTTAACTTTAATAGAAAATAACAAGAAAAAAACTTCAAAAAAAATTATAGACTAGGAAAAAAAAACCCTAAATCAGTAAAAACGTTTTTGGTGACAATATTCCAAAAATTAAGTTTTTTTAATAATTTTTAAAAGATATGAAATGCTAAAAAGAAGAAATGATATAAGATATAAGATATAACTATAAGGCAAAAAATAAAAATAAAAATGTTGTTTATCGATAATTGTGATAATGAAAAAATGTTTAATAAAAAAAGTAAAAAATCGGTGTTGATGTCATTTGGCGTTTTGTTATTTACAAACGCCGAATACGACCAAATTTTTTATTTAATTATAAATCATCGAACTTATCTAGATTTTTATTACCCTATTAAACGTGTATTTCGCTATTCTTGTTTGTCTTATTGAGCATCATTTTTTAACCTTCTTATAAAGAAACATGAATCTTCTTAGACTTGTCTAATACGAGATTTATAATTCAAGAAAAAAAAATTATATGTATTAGCTATAGAGGAAATAGCATTGTTACAGAAAGTTAAGACGGTTAAATATATCAAAATGGTTGAATGTTCTTGAATTTTTAAACAACTAAAGGTAACAAAAACAGTGGTTATTAACTGGAATTACAGAAAGAAATTAAAACTAGTGAAATAGACATAACTTACAATCTAATCGTCCATTTTTTTTATGCTAGACATGTTGTACCCTTTATATCATATTCTAGAAAATGTTCATATTTGAGATAGTAATTTTTGAAGACATACAAAAATCTTTTAAGTGCAAAACATATTAGAAATTTCAAAAAACTCTTTTATCAGTTTATGTCATTTAGTTACAATAGGTTTTGTAATAATAGACATTGTAATTAATTTTTGTTTACTAATAGATATCATATAATATCTATGTAGAAGTGTTAAACATTTATACTATTGCGTTTTTCTAACTTTTACACAGAGAATATACGAATTGATAACCATATTTTTCATTTATTTCAAACAAAAAAACTCATATTAAAAAAGAAAAAAAGAAAACCAATTGGTAACTGGTTAGTTCTTACTATAACTAAAAAAAATTTATTGGTTGGTACTTGGTAGAATGTTCACAATCTAGTGAAAATAACATAATCAAATTCATTATAATTTTTTGTTCAACTTTCTTTTTCTTCACTTATCTTTTCACTTATACAGATTTTTCATGTTATTTCAAAACAGAATCTGTAGATTTGAGTATTTGAACCACCAAATTTCATGATTATACTATTTAATTAAATTCTTAAATCTTTTGTTCAGCTTTCTGTCTTCTGACTGTTTTCTTTATGTGTCTTTGGATTTTTCGTTTAACACTAAACTAAATACCAAAACTGTAACTGTAACTGTAGATTTGACCAACCAAACTTCATGCTACAGAAAGAAACAAAAATTTACCTATAAAACGTGATAAAAAACTCCTTCATCTTTATGATGCAAAAGATCTTTCACTTCACTCTCATATACCTCCACCGCCATGCAACACTCTCTCCGCTCCGACCTTATTCCGCCGGAGACTTCCTCTAATTTTCATTCACTCTCACAAACCAAACATGCCAATACTAATTCCCGACTTCTCATTAACCCTTTCAAAACACCAACAAAACTTCCCGATTTCCCTCCTCTCATCACTTCTCCGGCGACGTCACCACCACCGTCTCCGGTGGAGTTCAAGCCGACGCATCCCCAACTAAACCCTTTCCAGAAGCTAGCGGCTTCGATGCTCGACAAGATCGAGTCCACGCTCGTTATACCTATGGAACAAAATCACCCGCTTCCTAAACCGACCGACCCGGAAGTTCAATTATCCGGTAATTTTGCACCGGTTAACGAGGTTCCGGTTCAGAACGGTTTACAAGTCGTTGGTCGGATTCCTCATTGTCTACGAGGAGTGTACATCCGTAACGGAGCTAACCCTTTGTTTCCGCCGTTAGCTGGACACCATCTGTTCGACGGTGACGGAATGATTCACGCCGTTAACATCGGTTCTGACAACCAAGTTAGTTACAGCTGCCGGTATACTCAAACAAACCGGCTTGTTCAAGAAGCAGAGCTGGGACGATCGGTTTTCCCTAAACCAATCGGAGAGCTTCATGGCCATTCGGGACTGGCTCGGCTCGCTTTATTCGCGGCTCGAGCTCAGATCGGCCTCGTCGACGCAACACGTGGCATGGGTGTAGCTAACGCCGGCCTCGTTTACTTTAACGGGAGGTTATTAGCCATGTCAGAGGATGATCTCCCTTACCACGTGAAAATCAACGGCCAAGGAGACCTTGAGACAATCGGACGGTTCGGATTCGACGAGCAGATTAATTGTCCAGTCATAGCGCATCCTAAGGTGGACCCTACCACAGGGGATTTACACACGCTGAGTTACAACGTTTTGAGAAAACCTCATCTCAAGTATTTCAAATTCGACACGTGCGGGAAAAAGACTCGTGACGTGGACATCACTCTACCGCAACCCACGATGATCCACGATTTCGCGATAACCGAAAATTTCGTCGTCATCCCGGACCAGCAACTGGTTTTCAAATTATCCGAAATGGTTCGTGGCGGGTCACCGGTTATCTACGATAAGGAGAAGATGTCGAGGTTCGGAGTTATGTCCAAGGAGGATAAGACCGGGTCAGGTATAAATTGGGTCGACGTACCGGATTGCTTCTGTTTCCATTTATGGAACGCGTGGGAAGAGATAACCGAAAACGGAGACCCGGTTATCGTTGTAATCGGGTCGTGCATGAACCCGCCCGACACTATTTTCAGCGACTCTGGAGAACCGACTCGAATCGAGTTAAGCGAGATCCGGTTAAACCTGAGGACAAAAGAATCGAACCGGAATGTTATTGTAACCGGGATGAATTTAGAAGCGGGTGAGGTGAACCAGAGTTTCTTGGGTCGTAAAACCCGGTTTGTTTACTTAGCGATAGCCGAACCTTGGCCCAAATGCAGTGGCATAGCGAAGGTGGATTTAGCAAACGGTACGGTTTCGAAGTTTTATTACGGTCCGGGCCGGTTCGGTGGAGAACCGTCTTTCGTACCGGAAAAAGAAGGAGAAGACGAAGGGTATGTAATGGGGTTTGTGAGGGACGAAGAGAGAGGTGAGTCAGAGTTTGTGGTGGTTGACGCATCGGAGATGAAGCAAGTCGCGGCGGTGCGACTGCCGGAGAGAGTCCCGTACGGGTTCCACGGAACGTTCGTGAGTGAGAATCAGTTGAAGGAACAAGTTTTCTGACTTAGCCACTTAGGGGTTAATTCATAAATAAAAAATTATGCATATTTTCTTTTTTTTGTTAAAATTATGCATATTTTATTTTTGGGTATAAATAGCGAGTTTAATCTTCTCTATTTCGATTAGTATTCATATTATAATTCTATAGGTGTATAATTACCTATACATATTGAGATTATATAATAAAAAAAAAAAAACCATTCTCTCTTACCGTTTTCAGTTTATCCTAAATGTGAAAAGAGTTTGAAATGTACGTAACTATCACTGCCATGTGTTCCAATCCAAACTTATATTTTACATGCAAAAGGATTCAAATGTTGACTGCTAAACTGTCGTCAAATCCGCAAACGGAGACAATCTATTTTTGGTATATTTGGTTTATTGCCTTTTTAACACGCTAAGGACTCTTAAGTTTATAATTAGTGGTTAGAACTTATAACTTTAAAGCGACACACAAATTAATGTCGCATGTGACTCAAAAGTAAAAAATTGCTACTAGTGTCATAGTGTGTAGTATTATCTTTAACCATTACCATGAAGGCATTAAGGTAGAACTGTAGAAGTGGTCCATTTTCATCTAACGTTAACTATAAGTGTAGTATGTAGGATGAGCATTAATTGTATAATATATGTGCAGCCAATAAAATGTCACGAGAGCGATGAATGATAACCTTCACTTACTAAGTGACTATATATTAGAATCCATAAAATCATGGGCCATGGTAAATTGTTTTTGTTTGGGAAGGAATATTAGTACAGTCGTTTTATGACTGAAAGGTTGTTCAGCCATCCGCATAATTTCATTAATAATTTATCTATAATTGGATCAATGGAATCTATGACAAGTTGTATAAAAACAAATTGTTTGTTTAGAGGAGCTACAATGATTTTACGGAACAAGTCTATAGGTTGTCAATTATAGTGGTTGATGTAACAAATCAAATTTATTTTGAAACTATTTATACAAACGTCACGAGAGAACTGAGATAGAAACAATCCTATTATATGTTAATATGTCATCTTTTAAGACAGACGTGCAACCATTTCATTCCCAATATCAATGGAAAGTGTTATTCTTCACACAAAAGTTTCCTATAGAAAAGTTATTTATCCACCAAATCTTAATTCAGGTAAGCTTCAATCTGAACAATTAGGATAGTGAGATGTAGTTATACATTTGAAGATACTTCTCAATCTAGAACATTGTCATTGATAGTTTACTAACCCACCTACTTGTTATCTGTTAGATAGTTAATTATAAAATATCTATGTAAAAGCAGAAGATTAAACTAAAAACCTAAAAACATGGAGAAGAAAAGGCTTATATTTCTATGATACAAAAGCATAACATCATCCCAAGAACCGACATCGACTATACACGACCACTTATTTGTGCCCACCAAGCATATTCACAAGAATCACAACTATCCACTACAAATAAATAGTGGAGTGGACTATTTTTTTGAAGGAAATTAAAAAATTAATCGGTTGGGGTTTGGGATCATCTATCTATCCACAATCCACAATCCACACTGATATATAATAAAAATATTTTTATTATGTTTAGTGTTTTTTTAAAAGATCTTGGTGTAAAGGGTTTCATATGTTAGTTTGTTAAATATCTAAGATAATCATTTGCAGTAATTTATAAGTCAGTTTAACCAGAAACTGTGTTTATTGGCTTAGCTTGTGATTTATTTGACTCTCAAGTTTCCAAGTTTTGCGTGTACTTAAAAGAAGTCGTGAAACACTTAAATTTTCAATTTTATATGAATAATAAAACAGTGCAAATTCGTACGTTGTTGAGTAAGCTAATGGACGTACCATCCTGCCGCCATACCTCATTCATCCGTACACCTGTCTGAAAATTCTTTTGGTGGATTCAGATTGGAAAAAGTTTCATGAAAAAAAAACAATGAAACGAAGCTTTTAAATCATGTGACCAAAAGTAAACCTTTTAACAAAAAAAAAAATCATGTGACCAAAAGTGCTTTATTTTCCTCCTTAACAAGTCAACTCTTTGGATATTTTTATTTAGTCGCTTCATTTTTAATACCATTTCCACAGTGACATGGTTATTTGAATTGTTAAAGTCATGACAGTGATGTTGATTCTTGAGTACAAAATAAATAATAAAATTATCCAAATTATCTTTTTGCATGGTTACAAATTACAATTACGGTGAGGTCAATATACTGTATGTACATGAAGAACGAGATAGTCCTCTCACTAGCTATGTATATATCGCTCAATGTGTGGTAACAACTAACAACTAACAAGATGATGTTGCTACTTGCTTCTTCTACTTTTCACATGGCTTTGGTCTCCTCAGTTGAGTTAATTGGACCTGGGCCTTAACTTAATCGGGCTTTTGATTACTGGTCTGATTAAACATTGAGAGACAATTTCAAAAGCTTACGGAACATAAAAAAAGAAAAGAAATGTTAATACACACGTGCCTCCTTGTTCAACCAGATTAACGAACGCCGTTTAATTACCACCGCTCAAATAAAACGTTGTCGTATTAGCCAATTGAAGAACTTCGGGGTTCTTCATCAATTTCTCCCAGAAATTGTCAGCTAAAAACTCCTCCGATCGAATCTTCTTTGGTTATCTTCCTTAATGAACAAGTTCGTCAGAGTTCTCTTCGGAATTTGAAATTGAGGTGGATTTCCTCTTCTCTCTCTCTGTTTTATTGCCTTTCCTGCACACCACATGTTCGACGAAATGACTAAACGTTGTCACTTCTTCGTTTTCAAATCCTCACATATTTCCTTTAAATGTTTCAGGGCTCAAGGAAAGTAGTCGTCTTTAGCTTAGTTCTGATTTGGGTTTTTAAATTCCAGTCCCCGCAAGTCACCATGCTTCTGATTTCGCCTTCCTGTAGAGGTAATTTGAGTCCTCTCCTTTAGCTCTGTATCTAATTTTCCACAGTCTCTCATTGCTGTGTCTGTCTTTATTCCTCCCCGCGTAGGTGTTTATGCTCAGACCCTTGATTTCTCTGCCAGAGGCTCTTACGCACTTTGCTTTCAGGTTTTTCTCCATTTCCATCTCCTCTAACTTTGATCCTGGTGATGATTCCCGAGGCTGTAAAAAACTTTACTTTTTACATGTAGATTCCTACTCCGATCCGTAAAAGGGAGTGTTCTTCAATGAAATTGGGAGCTTTTATTTGTTACAATCAAAAGCCTATAGAGAACACAACTTTCAAGAGACGGCATGTATTCACACAGAACGTGGATCTTCCTCCTATCTTACCAAAGAACAAGAAGAAACCTTACCCTGTTCCTTTCAAGCAAATTCAAGAAGCGGCTAGGAAAGACAAGAAACTTGCCCAGATGGGCATAGAGAAACACTTGGAACCTCCCAAAAACGGACTGCTAGTCCCTAACCTTGTTCCTGTGGCCAATGAAGTTATAGATAACTGGAAGCTGCTGATCAAGGGTTTAGCACAGCTTCTCCTTGTTGTTCCCGTCTTTGCTTGCAGGTAAAGTATCAGCTGTGAGCTACATATGTGCGAAAGCTGCAAGTTTTCACTTACTTTGTTGTAGTATCTTTGCAGTGAATGCGCAGCGGTTCATGTGGCAAGTGCTGGTCACAATATCAGGGAATGTAGTGGTCCAACAAGTGCAAAGCGACGTGGTTCACATTTATGGGTGAAGGGAACCATCAACGATGTTCTCATTCCGGTTGAGTCTTACCACATGTATGACCCTTTTGGGAGACGGATAAAGCATGAAACCCGGTTTGACTATGAAAGAATCCCTGCTCTTGTTGAGCTATGCATCCAAGCTGGAGTCGAGATCCCAGAGTATCCTTCACGGAGAAGAACACAACCGGTTCGAATGATCGGGAAGAGAGTGATCGATCGAGGTGGATATGTCAGAGATCCTGATAAGCCTTGCAGCTCAACATCGTCATCTGCATTAGCTGATCTTGACACACTTGGTGCTTGTCAAAGGTATCCACCTCCGACACCAGAGGAGATACCTAAGATAGCGCAAGAAACAATGAACGCTTACGAGAAAGTGAGACGGGGAGTGACGAAACTGATGAAGGAGTTCACTGTGAAAGCGTGCGGATATTGCTCTGAAGTCCATGTAGGACCATGGGGACATAGTGTGAAGCTGTGCGGAGAGTTTAAACATCAGTGGAGAGACGGGAAGCATGGATGGCAAGATGCTCTTGTGGACGAAGTCTTTCCTCCAAACTATGTATGGCATGTGAGAGACCTTGAAGGAAGTCCTCTCACAGGAAATCTCAAGAGGTTTTATGGTAAAGCCCCTGCTTTGGTTGAGATTTGTGTGCACAGTGGAGCTCGTGTTCCGAATTTTTACAAGGCCATGATGAGGCTTGACATCATCGTTCCTGATTCAGAGGAAGCAGACTTGGTCGCATAGGTGTTTTGATATGTTCATAGTAGAACACTGTTGCATATAGAAAGAAGCTTCGTAGTCGATTTGGCTCATCTGCTGATGTAGTTATGTATAGAAACTCTTTTACCTGGTTCAATATAGTTTATATTAAGAAATTAAATATCTACAATGATAATGGTGATGACAATATGTTTGAAAAATTCTAATTGGATCCACCATTCTACTTACTTGGATTGTGAAGAAACTCCAATTCTGCTTTTTATGAAATATTTAGTAAATTATTGTGTTTAACTATTAGGCTAAATTTGTGAAAACACAGTCATTATGTTTGAAAACACTTAATAGTTTGCACTTTTTCTTTTATCTGTAATCTTCTTAATCAATATAGTGAATGAATTCTTACTCGAACTTATGAATTTTGAAGAGTTGAGGCAAGAAAGCCTATGTTTCCTCCATGAGAATTAAGAATGTATAAAGACATAAATACTCGATAAGACAATCAGAATAGCAGCATGCTTGTGAAGAGGTGATAATAGTCCAAAAGTTTTGGTCATCTAAAAATATATAATACATTTTTTGACGGTATTCGCGCATCTCTGCAAGTACCATAACGCCTTGTGACGTGTATAGTGATTTAAAAATAAAATAAAATTATCTTACCCTTCTATTTTTCATCAATGTAATGTCTAACTGGTTAAACCAAGTTGAACTATATCCCAAAAACTCATCCATATCCAGTCCCAATTTCTAGATGATTGGAAGTTGGCTTAAAAAACGGATTAGAACCTCGTTTAGTCGTCTTGTTTCATGTCTCTGGTTTGTTAACACAATTTCTTACCTTAAGCAAAACTAGGCTCTTAGGATTGGATTACCCATTTCAACGTTACAACTTACAACTTGGTCCTAAGAAAATTAACTTTAGAATCCTGTACGATTGCACCTAGGCACATGCTACGAAAATGATCTAATCAATATATGCATGTACACATGCAAAATATAACACACCATTTATCGTCTGCACAAAATCTAACAGTAATGTTAATTTACTGCCTAACTGTATTTGTCAGCTTTTGGTTGTATAGCTATTAGTCTACGTAGAATTTGTTCCGTTAACATTAACTCTTGTCTTTTATCATCTGGCTTACATGTGCTTCCACACTATTTCGTCAAGTCTTCAGACTTCAGAAATAACTCGACTTCAGAATTAGATTCAGTTAACTCTTTCGTCGGCAAAACTCTCTTGATGTATCAATCTCACTAGTGGGAACAAAACTCTCTAATTAATCTATATGTTGACGTGTACATGTTCGTGAGAATTTTCAGAAACGTTCATAAATCATTGAAATAAGAATACTTAAACCTAGGTATTACGAAAATTTGCACAAAAAAAGGTTTTACGAATATACGACTTCCGAATTAAGGGTAACAAATGATTAACATTCCACCATGTTCTGTATCAAAAAAAAATATCAACATGTTTTAAAAAAAAATCGTACTAACCTTTATTTGGAAAGCTAGTTATATGGATTTCATAATCCGTTATGTCTATGACGCTTTTAATCAATGGGTTCAATTTTGAATAATGCAAAATCGGTTCTGCCAAGAAATATTTGACATTTATTATTACTTTCACAGACGATAACATTGGGCGAAAAATAATCCAACAAATAGCTTTAATACTAATAAATTTTCTTTCTTCGTGTAGTTAGGTTGACAAAACAGAAAAACGTACGAAGAAAAGTCAGATGACTAAATTAAGGCCCTAAATTAATTGGTTAAATAACAACAAAAATAGGCTGGAAAGTTAAGATTTGAGAGTAAAAAATTGGCGTTCTTAAGATTATGGTGTTTCTCATGTTCTCGTTCATTTTGGTATATCTCTTCGTGAGAGACTGAGTGAGGTTGTTAAGGGAAGTCCACTCATAGAATTAGTAGAGTTCATTAATTCTAAATTTTTAGTTGGCAATTTGGCATTGAAATGATGTTTTTTTTTTGTACAATTTAGTTGGCAATTTCTGTACAAAGTTTTTTTTTTTTTTTTTTTTTTTTTTGTTAATATGGATAACATAGTTTGAAATTCTAGTTAACATATGTGATATGTCTCAGACATTCATTTAAGCTCTCACGTGGTTTGTTATATTCTAGTGAAATTCATTAGGTAATAAAGTAATCATGTGAAACAATAGTGATTGCTTAGTTTCACGAATAAAATATTAGAAAATCGAGAAATTGAAAGAAAGAGGGATAGTAGTAAGTGAAAAAATGAGGAGAAACCCAATTTTGGAAAAGAAGTAAATGCGTTTGATTGAAATTGAAAGTGGCTACTAGAAGTAGGAGAAAGCAAGCAAGCATGGGTTCCGTTTTTACTTTTGAACTTACACTTTTAAAGTCCCACTTCTAAACTATTTCATGTGCTTTGTTTCAGTTTCTCCGATACTCTTCCATAAGTAGTTCTTGAAATAACTATAAATAAATGATCCTTGCAATGTATTTGTTAAGTGAAAAGAGTGAGAAATTTTTTTGTGTGATAATTTAGCGATGAAGTCATCCCTAATTTTACGAAGCTTGGTGATGACAAAATTTTACACCAAAAATTACGATGCACCCGTAAAGTTGTCACGAACCTATTGCAATACATCGTTCGTTGTGAATCGTAAATGTTTTTTCTTAAACTCATCCATGACTGGCAGAATGTTTTGGGCTTTATTCATAAAGAAAAACTAGTTATTGTATTCAATAAGTAATAACTGGTCGGCTTTACTGTTAGTCTGTTACCATAAATGTGTCCACAGGCTCAATTAATGAGGCTGAGTGTTATGAATCTTCAAATCAAAGAGGAACATGCATGATTTCCACATAATTGCCTAATTATTAAATATAGCTAAAATATGCTTTTAATTAGTTACATGCTTCATTTTATTTATTTTTTATGCATTGATTCTTGTATATAAATTATATCCACTCTAATTCTTTTTGCTCCTTTTATCAAACGTCGCTATTTATAACAGTCGACGAACTTTTTTCTTTCCTTCATATTATATCCTCATCAAACAAACAAACAAAAATAATATTTTACCAAAACTGAAAATGAAGATCAAGGGTTTGATATTGGCTTCTTCTCTCCTGATTCTTGCCTTCATTCATCACTCGGAATCAGCTTCATTGCGGAGTTTGCTCATGAAGAACGGATCGTACGAAGAAGAAGCACAAGTTCTAAAGTACAACTCCACGGACACGATCACTAACTCTACAGCGTTGGACTCTAAACGGATAATTCCCACGGGTCCAAATCCACTTCACAACAGGTAATTCAAGAACGTGCAAGATATGTTTTGTGTTAATTGTGTATCTTTCTTCTTGTGTAATGTAATGATAAATATAAAAGACATTTTCTATTGATGTTTTCTAATTACTCGATATTCATTCGTTTCCTTTTCACGCATTTGATACTTGTTCGAAGTGATTTCGAATCATGTGAAACCCGGAACAAAAAGTACTTAAGAATTTAGAAATCCAACGTTTTAGAGGCGAAGAAGAGGAAAGTGATTGTGTTGTTCCCTTCTCTTTAAACTACATATGAGATTATCAGATACTCCCTCTACATATGTTAATTATAAGATGTTGCAGTGATTTTCTTTGTTTTATAGTATTATTTGTTGTGCTATGTAAAATTTAAGCTCATCATATAAAATAAAACGGATGGCGTGCGTATACTGCATGGTTGATATTCGGATAATATGAGATCGTGTTGAGCCATTTACATTACACACCAATATTCTAAATGCATAAATTTGTGTATACATATGCGTGTATGTATATATACACGGGTGTGAAATAAATTATGATGATATAGATCCTTACTCAATCTTGTGAACTTGTGTTCTGAATAGACTGTTGGATTTTTTATTTTTGGGGCAGAAGTTTCTGAAAATGCAATTTAATTCACTTATGTCAGAAGAAACTCACTTTATAGTTAATACTTAGTGTCTCCCAACTCCCATCTTGTCTACCTCTTTCTCTCTCATGTTACAAATATTGGATTGGAGAAATCTTGCAAGTGTTTTGTCTCTAACAACATTCTTTAGGTCATCTTTCACCTTTTAAACTTTGTTGATCAAGAGACCCTAATGAAGTAGTGGAGGGTGGAGACGATTTTTTACTGAATTCGTACTCGTATATATGTTATAAGTATTTTTTTCTTCTTTTGATGGAGGGACGTACGTTAATTGGGTCAAGTCTTATCTTCTTTGACACACGAGAAGAAAACTATGTTAACATAATGAGAGATTTCAAATAAGAATAAGCATAAGTCGCGAAGGACTTGTTACCTAGAATTTGCACTGGGATTCTGAGTCATGATCAAAGACTAACGTTGGCATGGAAAGCTTGACTTCTTGAAACCATTTGACCATTCGTTAGAAAATGTGCTTTGTATTGGATAACTTTGTCCGTGTCACTTGGCGTTCGAACATAAGCCAAATGTGGCCTCGCCCAAAGGTAAAACATTGTTGGGCCTCAATACCACTTATGGGCGTCAGGAAAACTATTCAGTAACTATTTTCATTCTTAACATTTTAATCTTTGATAATGCAATGTTCTTTCTTACTAATTAGTAATTACCATCCTGTTATTCTAGGTCATGCTTCTTTACTCTTTCACCTAGCCAAAGAGCTATGACTATATTATTCTAAGTTCCGAACTAGTTTTTAGGATACCAATATATTTACCGAGAATACCGATTAAAGGCACAAATATACATTAATATTAGGCTATAACATTCAACTTGTTTATCAAGTGTGCGACAGAATAATATAAAAAGATAATCCCCCAAAACAGAATGGTCAGTACGAAATTGCAAAGAGAATCCAAAGGAAGAAAAGAAGATATATGGTCCTTCTTCTTATTCCTTATTATATACGGTCCATACGGAGAATCATCTAAGATCCGTAAGCTTTGTTCTCCGTGCATGTTCTTTAGCTTTGACTTCCCGCCTGAAACATCTACCACTCGTTCTTGTGAATCCATTCTTGATAGAAAAGAATCGGTACTATTGTAACCGACGTAATCTGATCACATATGCTGTCTCTTTTTTTGGCTTTAGGACAATGTATATTCTGCAAACATTTTCTCTTTTCTTGGTGGTTTTTCATATCTCACTATTGCTCCCTATCTACTGTCTACTTATGTAAGTTACGGATACAATCACCTAATATCCACAATTTTAAAAGTAGAAAAAATTTCTTGCTAACAAATCAACTAATTTTTATCGAAGGTGAAAGAAATAAAAATGCTTAAAGATTATAACCAAAGAGTTGCTTTAAAACGCGTTTAACTGTTTATATCTTTTACCAAAACAACTAAAATGTAACAAAAAGTCGTTTCAGCTGTAGTCACGTGAAAGATTTCGGTTGCTAAAGTAATCTCCCACATTGAGTAACTAAGAAGAACACATGAAAATTGATCAATATCACAAGCCAAAAATAGTATGCATAGACTTATTTGGAAATCAATGCGTCTGAATTCTTGGTTTTACATTCTTACTTGGTGTCTTCTCCTTAATGCTTTCTCCATCATAAAGTTTGTATATTGATTGATTGTATACAGGAAAATGTCTAATAATTGGAAATGCAAATTGCATTTTTCTTCATGGTAGTCATAGTAAGCAATTAAAACATCTTTATGTAGTAGACATTCATTTTTACATCGACAACTCAAAATCTCAAATAAGAAATATGCACCAACCTATACTATATACTCCTAAGAAAGTCAAGTGACGGTTTAAGGATATATATGTCTTTTATTTGTGTATGCAATTACAAACAATATAGAAATGGTGTTTTGTTTTACTATTTCTTTATTTCATGAAGTTACGACAGTTTAGTAACGGTAACGGCGTTAAAAATCAGTTTAACGACAGTTTATTGGCGGCGTCATCTAACGTCGTTTACGTCCGTTTCATTATATAACGACGACGGTTTGCTTGGAGCTTGTGCATTCTCTCACACAGCTCTGCTTATTCTTCTTCTTTTATTTTCCCTTTTGGTTGCACGGAGAGAAAAACAAAAAACAAATCGTAGATTGTGAAGGTGAAAAAGAAGCTGCTACTATGGCGTCGTCATCTCAGAAAATGACCGGTGCTTGTTTCTTCGTGCTCTTCATTTTCGTCGTATGTGCTTTTACAGCGACGCGTCTCCGGAACGATGAAATCTCACGATCGAGGTGTCCTTCTCTCTATGCTAGTCTCTGTAACTATATATCTCTGTTATTTTTTTTTTAAGTTTGTTTTAAAGTCCATATTTTAGCTGCATTTTCCATGTTTCCTCTGTTTTTTTTTTTTTTTGCATTTTTGAAATTGTGAAAATGTTCGCTTAAAAATGTTTTCTCTCTTTCCTTGAAATTTGTTTTTGGTATTTAACTGTTAAATTTCAGCTTAATTTTTTCAGCATTTTCGTAGTAAACTCTCTTATGCGAATTTTAAAAGTAGTCTTGGAGCTGTTAACTGTATTTAAGCTACAGATTGTAACTTTTTTTAACTTGTTCTTTCTCTTATAACTTGTTCTTTCTCGGTAACTTTTTTTTTTTATCCAGGAAGCTGAAAACAGAGGATTCGCAAAGTTTTAACAGTTCAACAATGGCGATCAGGTGACAAAATTTACACCATCTTTAGCCGTCGATTTCCACATCATACGCGTCTCGTTTCTGCTTTTTTACTCTCTCTCTCAGAGTCTCTCTACATGCATGATGCAACTGCTATGTGAATGCATTTACTTTAATTCCTTACGATTTTTTCTAAATATCATCATGTAATGAATGAGGGATATACTAAAATTAACTAGTTCTACTAAATAATGCTCATAGATTAATTTCAGCTCCTATTATCTTGTTTTTGGATTTTTGCTGTTTTAGTTGTAACGGAAATAGTATGGAGTAACCACTTTGTTATCACCCATAAATAAAAGTAGATGGTCAACATGTTAGGTAAGAAAAATTAAAAAAATCACAAACCCCTTATACAAAAGTAGAACTATTTTTAGTCCTTCATCAACTTTTTATTCAATGTATGTGTGTATATATGATATATGATTCTATCAACAAGAAACTAATTTCCAAAACTAATTTTATTACAGGAGTGAACAGAACATTACTAAAAGAAGAAAGCTTGGTTTCTTATCATGTGGAAACGGCAATTTAATCGACGACTGTTGGCGTTGTGATCCAAACTGGCACAAGAACCGTAAACGCCTCGCCGGTTGTGGAATGGGTTTCGGTAGTAACGCAATCGGTGGTCGTGACGGACGTTTCTACGTCGTCATCGATCCAACAGACGAAGACGTCATCAACCCTAATCCAGGAACGCTACGCCACGCTGTGATCCAAGACGAGCCACTTTGGATCATCTTCGAGAGAGACATGGTGATAAATCTGAAACAAGAACTGATCATGAACAGTTACAAAACCATTGACGGTCGTGGTGCTAACGTACACATAGCCAATGGTGCTTGCATAACCATCCAAGATATTAAAAACGTCATCATTCACGGCTTACACATTCACGATTGTAAAAAAACTGGCAACACGACGGTTAGAAGCTCGCCGTCTCATTATGGGCATAGGAATATTACTGATGGTGATGCTATTTCGATAATGGCGTCAAGTCATATTTGGATTGATCACAACTCTCTCTCTCATTGCAAGGATGGTCTTGTTGATGTCATCCAAGGTTCCACTTCCATTACCATATCCAACAACCTTTTCACTCACCATGATGAGGTAAATCAAAATACATAGCTAAAAACTTCTGCCTTTGGTTGGTGGTTATAAAAGCTCTGATTTTATTTTATTTTTTAATTACATTGTGAGACAGGTCATGTTGCTAGGCCACTCTGATTCATACACAAAAGATAAGATGATGCAAGTGACCATTGCGTATAACCATTTTGGAGAAGGACTTCATCAGAGAATGCCTAGGTTTAAAATATAACAATGTCATATTCTGTTAGTTGATATGTATATAATACGATTAGGTGAGACTCAATGTGGTTATAACTAATATTGCAGGTGTAGGCATGGTTATTTCCATGTGGTTAACAATGATTACACACATTGGGAAATGTATGCCATTGGAGGAAGCGCAAACCCGACAATCAACAGTCAAGGCAATAGATTTGCTGCTCCTAATAACCGCTCAGCGAAAGAGGTTCATTTTCTTTTGTACTCTTCCTTCTTTGACGTTTGCTTGAACAGCAAGAAAATGAGTTTTTTTTTTAAGGTTACAAAAAGGGTGAATACAGAGGAAAGTGAGTGGAAGAAGTGGAATTGGAGATCAGAAGGGGACATGCTTGTTAATGGAGCGTTTTTCATACCATCAGGGGAAGGAGCATCAGCAAGCCATGCAAGTGCCTCGAGCTTATTAGCGGCACAACCAGCATCAATGGTTGACTCAATCACTTCTAGTGCAGGTCCACTTGGTTGCAAAATAGGCAAACCTTGCTAGCTAGGAATATCAAACTCGAACCAAATTAGTAGTTTCAGTACACACAAAACAAAAAAGCCTAACCCCTTTCACACGTATTACCAAAGTGTGTAAAGCTATTTTCTTCTTCTTTTTTCCATGATAGAGAATTTGGTTTACCTCGGTTTGCTTCTCATTTATCAAGAGGGGCAAGCAGAAGAAGAGTTTATGAGATCTTCTTATTAAACGATCACCCCCTTTTGGTTTTTCGGATTTTAGTTAATGATTGCAGAAATATTATACTATTTTCTATGAAAATCAAGAAAATTGGATGATTATGATGTGCACATCTAAAAATGTATTCATTCACACTGTTGCTGCTATATGTGTTTGCAATTGTGTTGGGAAATAAGTTTTCGGTTAGAAGATGAAACCTAAAAGAAGGATTGTTCTGTTGTTGTTGTAGTTGATATACATGCTAGCATAAGTTCAATTTACCAACATACTTGATAAAGGATTTTTCTGTACAGTATGAAAAATGGGGTTAAAATCTAGATTTTTTGTTTTGTTTTGTTTTTTTTTTTTTTTTTTTTTTTTTTGAAATAGAAGTAAATCTTGTTTATCAACAACTATCATGATGGAACAAAAGAAATAAAATAAAACATAGTTTAAAAGACAAAAAAATCAGTGTCAACGTTACAAGGCGTTATGTTACTTACAGACGCCGAATACCGCTAAAAATGTATTATATATTTTTGAATGACCAAAATTTTTTGGACTTTATCACCCCCATTAAATAGGCATTCCGATATTCCAGTTGCAATACCGAGCATCAACGTCTTTGTAAAAGCTAGAGATTTGTAACAAGTAATGGTTAAAAAATGAAAGCTGAAGTGCTGAACTACTCTTCAACTAGCTAGACTTTGTAAATCAGTTTAATTCTCTTTGAGGAACTACTTGGATCTATGGACAGTAAGAAAATCAACCACAATATATCAACCATCCCTTTCCACTAATGATCTCATAGAAGCAGGACAAGCCTTCTCTACCAAATTATCTTCAGCTGTGTTATTAATTGACTGACCTTCTGTTTATCCACCAAGGCGGGAGATTATTAGTGGGCCTAAACCGTTACAATATGGGCCCATCACGAACTGTACACTATATTTTGTCCTTTTGGTAAGTACACCCACACAGTAATCTTAAACTTGGTCTGAACTTTGAGGGTCTATGAGAATAAGCTAAAACGCAGCATTTCAATCCATAGTTTGATTGATACATTCAAAAGTTAATCAGTACGTGTCGGGTTTCAAATTACTAAAACAATTATAAAATCGTAAACAGAAAGTTAAGTATATGATCCTTCACTTTTTAATTATAAGCTGAGGGAGTAAGTGGTTAACGTTAAAAAGAAAAGAACATTTTGGGAAAATACACAAAAACATGGAGAGATTCCACTTCCTCAGAAGAGACTCCCGAGGCAAAGACCCTTGAAACAAGGCACCACTTCTTATTTCTTTATTTCTAAAAACTGCGCCGTTTAACCTTTGTGTTCCTTCTTCTTCGCCCTTTAAGGTCTTCTCTCCTTTGTTTACTTGTAATAATGGCTCATGGTGCGTTAATTATCTATGGTCTTTGCTTAATTTATTTAATCTTTTCAAAAGTATATAAACAGAGAAAAGATTTCAGTGTTTGTCTGTCATGTGCCCGTAAACAAAACATAGTTTTCCCTCTACGCTAAAGATCATAGTTCACATTTTGCATATATATTTTGGAAAATAATTACAAGCAGCAATAAATAGTGAACAACAAAATTGTTTCATCGGGTCGCAAAACAATATCCGACAAGAGAAAATGCTAATATATGAGAAAAACGCGTAAGAAAATTAAATAGAAGAGATTTAAGTGGGAGTTGGAAAAAAGGATTAAAGTAAAAAAAATAGGGGGAATTAGGGTAGGTGAGAATGAGTGAGGCTCGTTGTGGTCACGTGAGGTATCCTCAAAATCAGGGACTGTTGTTTTGTCCTCTCCACACTAAACCTAAACCCACCCATCCCCTTTAATTTCTTTATTAAGCCCTCAAGTCTTAACTATAGTATTTTGGTTAATAAAGATGCTAATCTCATTTTCTTTACAAATGAGAGAAATGATGCTAACCCACAAGGTCCTTTATCTATCTCCATATCCTAGAATTTGAATAGAAAAACAATACAAAAAGATGATGGAAACTCGGAAGACTAACATAATTAACACGATATTATTTTAAAGGTTTACTTATCCGAGACTACTTATATAGAAAACCAAGGAATAGGTAAAAAAACAGCATTGGATCTAGCAAAATGGTTAAGACTTCAAGTCTAGTCCTCTTATTTCAAAGGATTATCATATTTATTTAATTTGCATAAACTATATTAGTTGTGAAAGCACACGATGAATAAGAACAACTAAAACATTACAGTTTAGTTTATTACCCGTGGATGTACCAAATGGTAGATTTATAAATAACATGAAAGCACTTCTATAGAGTTTATGTTTAAACAGAAAAGAAACTTTTTTTTTTTGAACAACAGTTACGTCATTAGATTATCTGGAGTGACGTTATAGTTTGTTTCTCTTTTCTCTTCGCCGTTGGAGTGACTTGATATTCTCTTCAATCTATATAACGAACAAATCATAATGAACAAAATAGATATAGTATATTTTAGTACAACAAATTCAAACTTGTAATACTCGTACTGTAATTAATGGTCTTAAGACTATCTACTTATTCATATACAGTTGTCTCATCTTTAGAATAATCTTTTTTTCTTAAGATTACATGTCAGTTGAAAATTTTATATTCTAATTTTCTGGGATAGCAATTGTAGAACGAATACAGTAAGCTACTAGAGGATTATAAAATGTTAATATAAAAAATATACTCAAGTAAAAACAAAGGGAATAAAAACGAATCACCGATTCAACCACTTGCTTGGGGTTTGAGCAAAACCCACCCGTTTACTGAAATCAGGTTTTTAAAACAACAATCATTTCGTTAACAAACCTAATTTCAGCAGTAAAATAAAATAAAATACTTTTCTACCCATAAAGATACCAAAGCATGATCATATGGGCTAATGAGTTCATCAGTAACATAAAACTGTATAATGAGATTCATTCTCTTTCTATTATTAGATATTTTAACTAAAAACTTGAAATAGTTCAAATTGTGAACTTTTCAAAAAAACAGTTCAAACTGTGAAGATCATTAGTAACAAAAATACTACTCCAAATAAATTTTATTTTTGCATAGAAATTTTTCAGACAGAACAAATGACCCTCCTCCAAACATCTTATAAAATACAATTGAAGTAAAAAAAAAAAACATATAATAAAATTGAATGGAGTACAAATATAAAAAAACGTATAGTTTTCTGTATCGCGTAATTAGTATTAACCTGACAAAAAAAATATCAAAATGTTTTTAAATCAATTAAGAAGAGATATGGCCTAATAGGTGAGGTGGCAAGGAGGTGGGGTGGTGCAGTTTTGTTGATCTCAAGGCATTGTGTTTCCCTATTTTCCTTTGTACTCTTTCTCCTCTCTTAAATCGCTACACCAATTTCTTTTCTTTCTTAAAGGATAATTAAAAAAACACAAAATCAGAACACAAGTATTAGAAGAACTTAAACCCTCTGTGTTTCACTTCCTAAGCTAAGCGCTTGAGTTTAAACCAAGCAAGAAACAGATTTCGAGAGAGAGAGAGAGCACAGAGATAGAGAGAAGCAGGCACCAAACCCTAAATGGGTCTAAACCCAAGATTTTAAACTTCTTTTCGGATTTTGAGGCAAATGTCTCTTCATTCCTTAATCTCTCCCTCTTCTTCTCCTTCATTTCTCTTCTCACTCTTCTTCTTCATCCTTTGTTTCTCTCTCTCTGATGCGGAGCAAAACACGGAAGCTTCTATCCTCTACTCATGGCTCCACTCTTCTTCTCCTTCACCTTCCTCTCTTTCTCTCTTCAACTGGAACTCCATCGACAACACTCCCTGCAACAACTGGACTTTCATTACATGCTCTCCTCAAGGTTTCGTCACCGACATCGACATTCAGTCTCTTCAAATCGAGCTCTCCTTGCCCAAGAATCTCCCGGAACTTCGTTCTCTCAAGAAACTCACCATCTCCGGCGCTAACCTCACCGGAACTTTACCGGAGAGTCTTGGCGACTGTCTCGGTCTCACACTTCTCGACCTTAGCTCCAACGGTCTAGTTGGTGAGATTCCTTGGAGCTTAAGCAAGCTTCTTAACCTAGAAACCCTAATCCTCAACTCCAACCAGCTCACCGGAAAAATCCCACCGGGAATCAGCAAGTGTTCAAAACTCAAGAACCTAATTCTCTTCGACAATCTTCTCACCGGAAGCATCCCACCGGAGCTCGGAAAGCTCTCTGCTCTCGAAGTGATAAGAATCGGAGGAAACAAAGAAATCTCCGGGAAAATCCCACCGGAGATCGGAGATTGCTCCAACCTAACAGTTCTTGGTTTAGCCGAGACTAGCGTCTCCGGTAACCTACCTTCCTCTTTAGGCAACCTCAAGAAGCTACAAACACTCTCGATCTACACCACAATGATAAGCGGAGAGATACCTTCAGATTTAGGGAATTGCTCTGAGCTTGTGGATCTCTTCTTGTACGAGAACAGCTTGTCTGGCTCAATCCCTCAAGAATTAGGAAAGCTCAAGAAACTCGAACAGCTGTTTCTATGGCAGAACAGTCTCGTTGGTGGTGTCCCTGAAGAAATCGGAAACTGCAGCAACCTCAAAATGATTGATTTGTCACTAAACCTTCTCTCCGGTTCGATTCCAACCTCCATCGGTCGTTTGTCTTTGCTTGAAGAGTTTATGATCAGCGACAACAAATTCTCCGGTTCGATACCAACGACGATCTCGAACTGCACGAGTCTTGTTCAGTTACAGCTCGACAAGAACCAGATTTCCGGTCTGATACCGACAGAGATCGGAACACTTACTAAGCTTACTCTGTTCTTCGCTTGGTCTAATCAGCTAGAAGGAAGCATACCTCCCGGTTTAGCAGATTGTACCGATCTCCAAGCGTTGGATTTGTCTCGTAACTCGCTAACCGGTACAATCCCTTCCGGTTTGTTTATGCTAAGGAACCTCACGAAGCTCCTCTTGATCTCAAACTCTCTCTCTGGCTTTATACCTCAAGAGATTGGTAATTGCAGCTCTTTGGTTAGATTGAGGCTAGGTTACAACAGGATAACCGGAGAGATTCCATCTGGAATCGGTTCACTCAAGAAGCTAAACTTTCTTGATTTGTCAAGCAATAGGTTACACGGAAAGGTTCCTGATGAGATTGGAAGCTGCTCGGAGTTGCAAATGATTGATCTCAGCAACAACTCTCTTGAAGGCTCATTGCCTAACCCGGTTTCTTCTCTATCCGGTTTACAGGTTCTTGATGTTTCGGGTAACAAGTTTTCCGGCAAGATTCCGGCGAGTTTGGGACGGCTTGTGTCGCTGAACAAACTGATAATGAGCAAGAACTTGTTCTCTGGATCGATACCGAGCTCTCTAGGTATGTGTTCAGGGCTTCAGCTTCTTGATCTCGGAAGCAACGAGCTCTCTGGTGAGATTCCTTCGGAGCTTGGAGATATCGAGAATCTTGAGATCGCGTTGAACCTGAGTAGCAATAGGCTCACAGGGAAGATTCCTTTGAAGATAGCTTCTCTCAACAAGCTCTCGATTCTTGATCTCTCACACAACATGCTTGAAGGAGATCTTGCTCCACTTGCTAATATAGAGAACCTTGTCTCTCTTAACATCTCTTACAACAGCTTCTCCGGCTATCTTCCTGACAACAAGCTGTTCAGACAGTTGCCTCCTCAAGATCTCGAAGGCAATAAAAAGCTCTGTTCCTCTTCAGCTCAAGATTCTTGCTTTCTCGCATACGGAAAGGGAAACGGAGTTGCGGATGGTAATGTTGCTTCTCGTACAAGGAAGCTCAGGTTAGCACTCGCGCTTTTGATCACGTTAACGGTTGTTTTGATGATTCTTGGCGCGGTTGCGGTGCTCAGAGCGAGGAGGAATGTGGAGAACGATAGAGACTCGGAGCTCGGAGAAACGTATAAATGGCAGTTCACGCCGTTTCAGAAGCTGAATTTCTCGGTGGATCAGATCATAAGATGTTTGGTTGAGCCAAACGTGATTGGGAAAGGATGCTCAGGCGTAGTGTACCGAGCTGACGTGGACAACGGCGAGGTTATAGCCGTGAAGAAGCTTTGGCCAGCGATGGTTAACGGTGGCAACGATGAGAAGACCAACAAAAACGTGAGAGATTCGTTTTCAGCAGAAGTTAAGACACTTGGGACGATCAGGCACAAGAACATAGTGCGGTTTCTTGGATGTTGTTGGAACCGGAACACTAGGCTTTTGATGTACGACTACATGCCTAATGGGAGCTTAGGGAGTTTGCTTCACGAGAGACGAGGCTCTCCTCTTGGTTGGGATCTTAGATACAGAATCTTGCTCGGTGCAGCGCAAGGTTTAGCTTATTTACACCATGATTGCCTCCCACCCATTGTTCATCGAGATATCAAGGCCAATAACATCTTGATCGGTCTTGATTTTGAACCGTACATCGCTGATTTCGGTTTAGCAAAGCTTGTTGATGAAGGCGACATTGGCCGCTGCTCGAATACCGTGGCTGGATCTTATGGTTACATTGCTCCAGGTATGTTCACATCAAGAACTTAGAAGTCTCATAGAAACCCTAATTAAACCTATTTTCATAAACTGGTTTTTGTGTGTTTTTTTTGTAGAGTATGGTTATAGCATGAAGATTACAGAGAAGAGTGATGTTTATAGCTACGGTGTGGTGGTTCTTGAAGTGTTAACTGGGAAACAACCTATAGATCCGACGGTACCGGAAGGGCTTCATTTAGTGGATTGGGTGAGGCAGAACAGAGGAAGCCTAGAAGTTCTTGACTCGAGTTTAAGATCAAGAACCGAGTCTGAAGGCGATGAGATGATGCAAGTGTTGGGCACTGCTCTTCTGTGTGTGAACTCGTCTCCTGACGAGAGACCAACCATGAAGGATGTTGCGGCTATGCTCAAGGAGATCAAGCAGGAGCGTGAAGAGTATGCGAAAGTTGACTTGCTTCTCAAGAAATCTCCTCCGCCAACAACAACAACAACGCAAGAAGAAGATCGTAAGAATGAAGTGATGGCGGCGACGGCAGCTTCGTCTTCTAAAGAGATGAGACGAGAGGAGAGATTAGTGAAGAGTAACAACACGAGTTTCTCTGCTTCTTCTCTGCTTTACTCTTCTTCTTCATCGATTGAGTGATATGAGGCTTAAAAGGTTACGTGAGTGGCAAGCTTTCGTGTGTTGTTTGAGAAGTGAACTTTTTTTTTCTTTCAATTTTTCATTTTAAAATCTTTAGATATGTGATGTAAAAAAGAAGCAGAAGAATAGAATATGAGAGAAGGTGAGTGAGTGATCTTGTGATTAGCAAAGCGTGACATGAAACTGTAACTGTTTGGAACGGTTTAAAATCAATAATTTTTATCAATGGATCATGGAGATGTCAAAATAGGTGATCTTGGCCTAGCCACTGTCATGGAGCAAGCTATTGCCAAAACTGTCATTGGTATATAGTTTATGCTTCCCGTTTCTTGATGTTGCATACATTTTTCACATTTCAACTCTAACCAAATCTTTGAAGAAGGGCTATGTTCAATTCTGTCACATTTGACATTTTAAGAGTTTGTTTTATTCTTGGAATCAAATTGAAGTGTTACTACTTCCACTCGAAGTAGAAATCATGATGATGTGATTAAACATATAATTAACCAATGGTTCGAATAAAGATTGAGCTTACTAAATTTTCATGAACCACAAGGAAGAGTATAGAAACCAAAACAACCTCTAACGTTTCAAGTCTTTGAAGAACACATAACAGTTTCATAAAGCAAGAAGATAGATAGAATGGTAAAATCATAACAATGGACCAAATCAGAATCACTGATCTCCAGGAAGAGACTTGATGATGTCGGAGTCACCTGGATCAACGATGCTTAGGGTTGAAACTCGGAAGTATTTACCACAAGCGGTACCCAAATCGACATTGTTGCCATTGTAGTGATGGACTCCAACTTTGGCAAGCATTGCGTAGTACTCGATCTCTGATCTCCTCAACGGTGGGCAATTGCTAGAGATAAGAATCAACTTACCTAAAATACCAAAACGAATCATTCAACAGAAGTTCTCAACGAAGACGAAGCAAAAGATATAATATTAAGTCGATGAAGGAATGTTTAGTTACCTTTGGAGCTGCGAAGGGATTTGAGAACGGACTTGTAGCCAAGAGTGTATTTGCCACTCTTCATCACCAGAGCTAATCTGCTGTTGATTCCCTCATGGGACTTCTTCGACTTCTTCGCCTCAACCATTTTTTCACCGCCGGGAAAGAGCAAGGAGGAGGAGGAGCTTCGGGTGTTAAACAGAAATGGCTGCGCGGCGCTAAATGTGAGATTAATAGAGACGAAGAGCTCCCTTAGGGTTTCTTTCTTTTGTTTTAAGGTTTGAGGCCCAAACTCGAACTTAAGGCCCAAAATAAGCCTGGCCCAATTCTAAATTTTCTAGTTATTCCTTTGAAATTTTGGCGGGATTTGATCTATCATCGACTTCCTAATTTGGCAAATAATGATTGTGATTGTGATGCCATTCAGAGTGCTAAAAAGGTACCTTAAGAAAGCCATGCTACTTGCATGCACATGATCTCCTGGCGAGTCTAGCAGCTTTCTTGAGGTGTATATTAACGCACATAACTTTAAACTGAATCTAGTTTGTCATCATGTTTTAGTTTGTGTGTTTATTTTGTCGTCTCTGGAGTTTTATTAGTCTTAATATGTTTTTGGGTTGTCTACATCGTTATGAGAGATATTTGATCGAATCCTTTTATAAATGAGAATTAATCGATCAAATTTTAACTACATCGAGCATGTGAGATATTCCACGATCGACGTAGCTCTCCATGCAACACACGGATCCACGATATAGACAACTCTTCCGTAACAGACAAGTTTACCAAAGACAATTCTACGTGCAACACTTTGGAATCTGTGATCAGCTTTACAAATATTAATCTGCATAAATTTTAATACCAGACCATAGAACTAGTGTAGAAGACTTTAAACCACTGAGCACCATTGTTCCAAAAGAGTTCAAATGGTTCTAAAGGTTTTAACCTAGGATTTCAACCAGTTGATTCATCTTAACCAGTTTGACCGATTATAACCGGATTCTTCTTCTTTCTTTTAAATGGTTAGTGTGTCAATTTCCTACGTGACTAAGGATCGTATATATTGATTCGATACCCATATCAAAATCAAAAGGAAAAAAATTAGTATTGGTTATTGGGTCCAACAATCTCCAACCCAAACGTGCCAAGTCTAGCTTGGCTCGAGCTCGTGTGTATTTTAGCACACGTTTGCTTCTCTCTTCATCAAATAGTCTTAAGGCTTTTAACTTTGTGAAGAGTTTTCCATTTGATATGCTAGTGGATTAATTCTCAAACTTGTATGTGAGATATCTGAGACTTATTGAAACTTTTAGCTTTTCAATTTATCTCTCTGTTTTTTTAATCTCTGTTTCTCATTCAATTCAATTATGGTTTTGACATTTGTATATATTACGTTATAGTGTTCACGTTGATATTTCTATTTTCTCCAATATATCTTATTATAAGTCTCTTGCTCTCAATTTTTAGAGCTTTCATTATTATTCCTTTTTATAAAATACTTATATTACTCTTTAAAGGTTAAAAATTATAAAGACTGTATGTGACACTTTATAATTTATATTGTAGTTTTCAGTTTTGAAATGTAAGGTTTTTCTGTCTAGAATTTTGTTTTTATAATATATTTATGATGTTAAGTGTAACTAAATATTTTGTTATTTTAACACAACATATGAAAAGGGAAAGACAAATATTATAAACAAATTAACTAAAATACAAAACTTTGGTCATGTCTCTTTGTCTCTTTTCCAAACCCCTCGTATCTCACGCCGTCTCTACCATTTCTTTTCCTGTGCCAACCCAAAAAATGGACTACAAAAGTTTGGTCAAGTCGTAGATGTTAGAAAGAATAATTATTCTCATCACAATATTATATTGTTTGCTTATAGGTGAAGTTTTTTCACCGTCATCAAGTCGGTGACTTGATTTCTTTAATACTTTTAGCTTCCTATAAATACATGTACTTGTAACTTGTTATTCATAAGTTGAATACAGAAAAATTCACTATACTTTTCCTCTCCTCACCCACGTACACCAACACAATACAAGAAAGAAACTTTAATACTTCCTCCTTTTAATACACGAATCTCTCTCTCACCCTATCTCCTCACATCAAACGTAACTCTCTCCTCTCTCCCATCTCATCTCATCTTCTCTCTCTTTTATTAACTTATATCAATCCACTATATCAATATATAGTGGTACATCTTTAGTATAGTTTCATACGTTATCAGCACGAACTGCTCTTATATTATGTTTTATTGTTTATATGCTATGCCGGGATGGTAGGCTATGCCTTCTCCGAGCCGATTGTTATGGTAGGCTTTGTCTCCACAATCGAAAAATCATTTCTTAAGCCGGGATGCTAGGTTGTACCTACTCCGAGCAAATGATCATATGGTAGACTATGTCACCTTAGATCATATAAGAGTTGATGGTGAAACCTCCTCTTGGAGTAGAGGCTTTGCCTCTTCCTGAATATTTACTTTTCTGTAATTTACTTTTTCGCTATTTACTTTCTGCCATCTAAATTTCTGCTAATTTATACTGTTATAATGCCATTTTTTTGCAAAATTTGAATTTGAATTTATATTTAATGAACTGATCTATGATCTATGCAGATATCATGTCAAATTTGGCTAAGCTCGAAATTTCCGCCCTTGATATTTCTGGAAACAATTATATGACATGGGCAATAGGTGCAAAAATGCATCTAAAAGGAAATGGGCTTCTTGATGCCATTGACAAGTCGAAAGAGACGCCAGATGAGAAAAAGGCGAAAGCCATGATCTTTCTACTTCATCACATCCACGATGGTTTAAAAGATGAATACATCACTAAAGAAGATCCTGCGGATCTTTGGCAATCTTTGAAAGAAAGATTTGACCATCAAAAATATATAGATTTGCCCAAAGCCAAATACCAGTGGCTATATCTCCGGTTTCAGGACTATAAAAGTGTTGTTGAATATAATTCTGCCTTGTTCAGAATAATTTCCAAGATGGTGCTATGTGGAGAAAATGTGAGCGATTATGATATGATTGAAAAAACGCTCTCCACATTTCACCCTGGAAATATAGTCCTGCAACAACAATATCGGGCAAATGGCTATACTCGTTATTCAAAATTGATGGATGTTCTCCTTGTTGCAGAACAGAATAACGAGCTTGTGATGATGAACCATCAGACTCGTCCCACTGGAGCTGCTCCATTCCCAGAAGCGAATGTAGCATCGTCCAGCCAAAATAATGGACGAGGACGTGGACGTGGATATGGTCGAAACCGAGGTCGTGGCCGTGGCCGTGGACGTGGTCGGGGACAAGGAAAAGAGTACCGTCCCGACGAGTCCAACAATGAAAGGAATATAAAAGATCTCGAGCAAATGATTACGGCCGAGATTCTAAAAAGCAAAAAGAAAGTGTTTGCTACAGATGCGGCATGAAAAATCACTGGGAGCGTACTTGTCGTACACCCAGACACTTAGCCGATCTGTACCGGGAATCACAAAAAGCAAAGGAGAAAGAAAGTGAGACTAACTTCATCTCCAATGAACCCGGTCCTTCCTTTCACGGCCTAAACGATGATACTCATCTTGATGTTTCAGATTTTCTGGTTGACTCCGAAGAGATCAACGGAAAAACAGACGACTAAAAGGACATGATATACATAGTTATCTTCCTGAATAAGATAACCTAAAAGTTTGATCTTTTTGTTGTAAAATAGTTTTTAATGTGGTATTTTGTATCTTGTGATATAAGCTTTGTATTGTTTAATACTTATTAATGCATCTTTGTTAAATCCAGAAATGACGAAATTTGAGACTCGTGATGGAGATATGTGTCTTGCAGACAGTGCTACAACGCACACAATACTCAAAGATAAAAGATATTTCTCCGGTCTCAAAATTAAAGATTCCGTTGAAAGCGTGAATACCATTTCTGGTGGTGCAAAAATAATATTGGGCTCTGGAAGAGCCAATTTTTCAATGCCAAGGGGAACAAAGTTTGAAATAAATGATGCATTATATTCCCCGAAGTCTTATAGA